ACAGCTCAGAGGGCTAGAACCTTACAGCCCCAGGTTCAATCCCCGGCAGGGCACGGCTCCGAAGCCACATTGGGTGGTGGCTCTAAACACCTTTCAGTTTGCCCTGGTGATCCCTAGAACCACTGGGCCTGAGTAGCACAGCACCCTAAGAAGTTTCAAGCACTGAACTTGGCAGATGAAAGGGCCTGTGGGGCTCCTGACTGCTGCTTGCAAGTCCCCTCCCCCACAAAAAATTCATAATTCTATCAGGGAAGACATTACTTAATTTGAAGTGGGATATGGTGGAAGAATTGGACATGTTAGGTAAGTATACCTTTTAAGAAAACAAAGAATAAATTAGAATTTTCTAAGACATTTTTCTTCACTTATAAATTTCATTCAACATAAAATTTCATTTTCAAGGGATATTACTATTCATGTTGGTTTATCCCAAAGCCAGGGAGAATATATTGCTATATAGAAGAAAGCAAAGGAAAGCTGTATAATAGCTTAAGGAAATAAACAAAACCATCAGTTTTTAATGTAAATGGAGGTATTATCTCAATCTTTCTTCAGAAACTTTAATCTGCCTTCTATTCAGATTCAAGAGTAGTCAATATACTTAATTTATAATTGTATTATAATGCTAGGCTTCCTATCTTAAGAGTTCTTACAAGTTACAGGAAATTGATTTTCATGAAAGAATTGCGAACATTTAGATAATCTCCTGTTTATGGACATTTCCCTTTTCAGACCTATTCTACTTAAGAAGATCTTCATTAAAAGAGTTATCTATAGGATGGTTCTTAATGGAAAGTCACAGTTCTTATTGTGACACTCATTCACTTACTCTTTCCTTCACTCACATATTTATAATACTTGAGATTCACAAAGAAACAGGATGTGTGGTAAAACTGGGACCACTGAACAATAACAACAAAAAAGACAATGCCGCTAGCTTTCTTATAAAAGTAAAGACAGAAAGATGATATCCCAGTGATAGACTGTAAAACATGGAATTAAAATCAGTCTTCCTTAGCAACTCAATCTGTAACTGGTCATCGCTTTCTAATTATACTCTCTGTTGGTGCAATTATAAAACAGGATATAAAATAGTGGGGAAAAAAGGTATTTTGAGACTTGGAGGATCTCTTAAAAAGGCATGTTCACCTGTTTTTCTTTTCTTTTTTGCTATATATGGTGACTGCTGGGGGCTAACTCCTACACTAAACAGGAGTCACCCCCAACAGTGCTCAAGGGACAAAGGGCAAAGGGACTAACCTAGGACTCCCATGTACTAAAAATCATTAAGTACCAGCCCTTGAGTCATCTCTTTGGTCCCAGAGTTTCCACATTCAAGAAAACAGATTGAAATACAACCTATTGCCCACTAGTAACCAAGAGGCTGTTGAGAACAGCATGTCACAGGAAGAAAGATTTGTGAGTGCGGTAGGGCTTGATCACTTCAACTGATGGCATGAGAGTAAAGAGCACTTCATCTCCAGCTTCTTCCCACATCTATAAGAGGGCATAGAAACCTGTGCTGTTAATTTGTTTTGTTTCAGTTTAGGGGCCACACCTAGCAGTGCTCAGGGCTTTCTCTTGGTTCTGCACTCTTAGTGGGAGCTTGGGGGATCATATGTAGTATCAAGGATCGAACTCAGGTCAGCCTGCACAAAAGACAAGTGCACTACTGCTATACTATCAGAATAGGTCCTGTGAGCCAATTTGGGTAGCATTTCCTCAACAATAATTTGATCTGGTTCTTTATTCACCATATGGCCTACAAAAGAGGAGTTGGAACCTTGATTTCAAGTTCAAGCACTCCCCTTCATCACAATGTCTTTAGTATCACTTCCATTTAAAATTTCAGAGAACTTCAGTTTCCTAATCTGCAAACTGGGTTTCTTTACGCCCCTACTCTAATGAGTTATTCTGAGGCCATAGGAAACCATGGGAATGCTAACCATTCTCCCTCTGAAAAGTCCAACTTCATGTACCATTTAAATTTCGTAACAATTCCACCGAAAAGACTTAAATTAGAATCTAGGCTCTAGGGTCAGCTTTATGTAATAATAATTAAAAGGTCCTGGTCAAATCAGTTAATCTCTTTGAAACACAGTCTCCAGAAAGCGGAAAGCCAAGTAATATCTAACCTAGCAACATGTTAGTTTGATTGCGTGAGAAGCAATATTGCAACTTTAAGTATTCTAATATACCATAAGCCCAGTGGCAAAACCCAAACCATTAGAACAACATTGTTATCAAAGTACCACTCACATTTCTTCTTAAGCAGTAAGAACCTGGGCAGAATGGCTAAAAACTACCCTATCAAAAACCAAAACCAAATATACAAAAAGACCCAGTACTCATCAAGAGTGGCATTTTTGAAAATATGATACTAAAACCACATGGTTTTTGTGTCCCACGCTATTAGCTATACCTTTTAATAGAAGGAAAACCAATTTAAAAATGAGCATTGATCTGCTGGAAGTAATAGTACATACATAGTACTACCTACTCCCAAAGGAATGGGATTTTCCCCCCCCCGATTTCTAATTTTAAAAGGAAAAAATTAAAAATACAAACCAGGACTGACTGAGACTTGCAGCTCATTAAAGCTGAGGTGATTTCCCCTATATAGAATTCTATTGATCTCCATAGTCCACACTAGACAAAAAGTGTGGTCAGGGAGGGGGATGATGGATGCCTCTGCCAATAGCACTGAACAAACCTGTTAGCTAATTGCTACCAAAGACAATTATCCCCGCATTGTTTCATAATGGAAACACATTACAAAACTCTAATATACACACAGGGAAATTTGATGATTTGACTGTGGAGCCATGTGCATTGAATTTCATTGCCAAAGGCCAGCCAGGTCGCTGTTGTGAAGGGGAAGAAAGTGTCAGAATATAAGCCACAGTATCTTAAAGCTTTTTACTTTAAGGGGACTGAGGGGGGAGGAAGGGGGAGGAGAATCAAAGGAGGGGGGGAGATGAGAAAGACAAAGAAAGGAAGACAACTCAGGGTCACTAGCAAAATTGAAAGA